CATATTTGATTGGCTTGAGGGCACTTACTAGTAATGTCTTCTGTCCAATTGTGGAATTAAATTGGTAGCTAAGTGTTAGGCCAAATACATGTTTTTAGTTCATGTATCAATGTATTCTTGAGACTTTCCCCCTTGTTTTCTTAAAAGGCAGGATATAGGGTAGGTGTGTTTTGTATAAGCCAGGATGAATCAAATTAATTCCTTTCATGTCTTCATTTATGGAGTGGAGCTAATTTCACACTTTCTCTCTGAGGGCCCTGCTCTCCTGTTGCTCACCTTCAAAGCAATAATGGAGAAATTGTTGCTGTCAGTAATGTTTGGTTAGTAATGAACACTGCACTTGGAGGCCTGGTGAGGGGAGGCCCACGAGCCGCCTCGCAGGATAGTAAAGAGCAATGATTGTGTTTCCATTAGTGTTCTGCCTAAGGACTTTGAGAGCCTCAGAAGTCGTACTTTTTATAATGAAATTAGAAATTATTTATTTTACTGAATTCATTAACTACAATTGTAGGGGCGGAGGGAAGGCAATTTTTCTAGAGTGTCAGATGAGGTGGGAGAAATAGGATTATGACCAGATATCACAGAAATGCTACATAAATGCTCTCCCTCACCTTGCAGCACCTCCCTGACCCCAGAGAGATGAAGCAAATATGCCAGAGATGGAGCTTTGAAATCCCAGTAACCAGGCTTTAGTCCTGGTGCCTCTCTCCAAATTCCTTACTCCCTCCATGCCTCCTTAAGGTGGGGGCACAACCACTTTCATGGGCTTTTGGTGACTGCATGGCACGTGCCAGATAGGGAGTCAGCGTTGGCATGTGGAGGCCATTCTTGCTCAGAAATGGTCAGTAATGACTGGGCCTGAGACCTGGCTGTTAACTCCTGGAGGTAACAGAAAGGGGTAATGTGGGGCGTTCCTGAGCTCTCATCAGTCCAGAAGACCGGCTCGACCTCTTTCTCCTGGGTCTGTAACAGGCATTGGGTTGGCTGAGGCACAGTGGATGGGGTGGGCCTTAGAGCAGACCCCTGAGTGTAGTGTCCTTCACCTGGGCTTTGTAAGAGGTGAAGGATCTAAGAGTAGGCTCTCTTTGCGATTGAGGACAAAACACACAGTTGTGGCGGCGCACAGTCTGAGCAGAGACCCTGATCCATGTGGGGTGTTTTGTCCATGGAAGGCTCTTCTGGTGCCCAGAGGGCCCTCAGAGGACTATAAGGAAAGCAACATTTTTCTTAGGAAGCAACTTAAAACTTGCTGCAGGGTTTAACCAACGCCTCATGGAGACTTCAGAGTTCCACATTATAGAGCACAGAAAAAATGCCCTTGATTTAAGTATGGCAAAGGACAGGTGCTAGGAGTTTTATTCACCAGGGCCATAAGAAGACCACAGAAATGTTCCCAGAAGCTTCTAGTTTTAAGCAACTTATACACAAAGATTTAGTTTACTATAAAACAATCAATTGTCTGTATGGAATTGTTGATACTGATCAATTAAATACTGGAAAATGACTAACAAATAAAATTTTTGTTATTCTCTGATTATTTTTCAATGTTTTCCCTTAACGTTAGGTCAAGGAGCCAAAATTTGTTTCTTATGGTTCATAATGAGAAGATTCTTGTCTGTGTCTCTGGAAGATACTATTCCTCTATTCGATATGTCTTTGGACCCAGGGTTGCAGTTACCTTAAAGACTGAGATTATTATTAATAAATGCTTTTTTTTTTTAAGTGTTGGGAGAGGAAAGACAAAAATACTTCCTTTTTTCCTCATATAACTTTAAATTCTGTTTTCAACAGGAATATTTTCATGATGTAATAAAGACTATATCAAATCAGTAACCATCATCATTCTTAATGATGAAACATTTATGACAATTTTATTAAAACCAAGTGCAAAGATCACCACTGTCGTCATTTTGTAATTATTAGTAATATGATTTTGGAAGATTTGTGTAATGCCATGAGACCTAATAAAGAAAAAGAAGACTGATCTATTAAAAAGAATGAGCTAGACTCATCCTTATTCACAGACAGTATATTTGTATGCTAACAAAACTTGGAGAGAGTCACCTAAAAGCAGTTACATTTAAGAATTTAGCAAAGTGACTTAAACATTATTCTGACAATTCAGCAATCAGTAAGAAACTACTATGGGCAAAAGACATGGTTTGTAGCATGTTGCTCCCAAATAGTCATGAACAATCCAGAAATAATCTTAAAAGAAATGAACAGGAGGTCCAGTGGTTGGGACTCCATACTTCCAATGCAAGAGGCACGGGTTCAGTCTCTGGTTGGGGAACTAAGAGCTCACATGCTATATAGCATGTGCACCACCCCGCCTCCTCCCAGCCCCCACCCCACCGCCGCAAAAAAAAAAAAAGAACAAGACTTGGGGAAGCTTGAAATTTGAATAAATTGTAGTCCTGTATGGAAAAATAGAATATCATAAGGATGTTATGTCTTGCCAAGTTTGGTTTATATGTTAAATGTAATGTCTTTGTATTTTGAATCCATTTTTATGTAACATTTTAAGAATTTCAGTGTCATTCTGTTAAGAGTACGTAATGGTGTGCTTAAACATTCCTTCATTTGCCTAAAATTTAGGTCATTCCCACTTGATTTCCATGATAAGAAATGCTGTGAAGAAAATCATTACACGTAGAAGATTCTCTCATTATATTTTGTATTTCTTATGACAGATCCTCATGTGTGAAATTGTTCGATCAAAAAATACAATTTAAAATACTTCGTGTTATCAATAAGCAGTTTGGTTAAACAACTTTAATCAAAATCTCCATGGGATTAAGAAATTGACTAGCAATTAATTTGGAAAAAAATAGATGAATATAAATAGAACTGAGTAAAAGTTTAAAAAAAACTGTGAGGAAGAAAACTGGGTTTCCCAACACTGTGAAATGTTGTGAGGATAAATTATTTAAGTCAGTGAGGTATGACCCAGAAATAGAATTTGGTCTATGTGGAATATATGCTTACTACAAACCTGTGAGTTTGAGTAAGTTTTTTAACAGGGGGAATTGGCATCATTGGGTAGTTCTTTGAGAAAAAATTAATCATCACCTGGTTGTATTGTTGTTCAGTTGCTAAGTTCTGTCCAACTCTTTGTGACCCCATGGGCTGCAGCATGCCAGGCTCCTCTGTCCTTCACTGTCTTCTAGAGTTTGCTCAAATTCATATCCTTTCAGTTGGTGATACTATCTAACCATCTCATCCTCACCTGGTACCATATACCAAAATAACATCCAGCTGGATTAAAAGGGTGAAGTATGAAGCAAATGAAAATATCAGAGGAAAATCCCTATAGTCACTCACTCAGCAGATGATCACTGGGTCAGGTATCTTGCTCCCATGTGTCAGCTCTGACCTTGGAGGAGCTGCAGGTGCACAGAGGAATGTGGACCAGCCTGGCTCTGCCAAGAGAAAGGCACAGATGCCGGGGTGGCATTGAGTGGGTGGGTCTGCCCTGATGAGATCTGGGAAGGCCTCCGCAAGGAATGGAAGTTTGAACCTGAGAGAGCCTGAGCTGGTGAGACCAGGCAAGGAGCCCTGACAGAAGGGTCATGTGTTTGAAGACCCAGAGGTCATGCCAGGTGGACTGAGGGCAAGACCCGACACTAGTGGGGAGTTTGGCAGGAGCTGAAGCTTACAAGGCTTGAATAGCATGTGGAGCAGTTCATAGTAAATCTTGAAGGTTTTGGGGACTGACTGAAAACAGGGCAGTGCACTGATGTGTTTGAAAGCCTGGACTGGGGGAGACAGGAGAGGGGGTCCTAGGAAAGTGGTGGAGCACAGGTAGGACGTGGAGGTGGCTTGGAGTTGGGATAGTGAAGTTGACAGACTCTGAGACATTTAGGAGCAGGATGAACGTGCTAGACGGGTAGTCACAGTGGGCATTGGCGCTCAGGACCCAGGTGGAGGGAGCAGAGGCTCAAGTGGTCTTCCTCTCGGGCATCCTATTTGAAATGACAGCCTCCCCACTCCTGGCAGGGATTTTTCTTTTTTTTGGACCATGTCCTGTGGCACATGGGATCTTTGTTCCTCAACCAGGGATGGAAACCAGGCCCCCTGCAATGGAAGCATGGAGTCTTAACCACTGGACCACCAGGGAAGCCCCAGGATTTTTATTTCTTTGATTTACTAATGTGTCCTCAGTTTCTAAAAACTGCACCTGGTGGGTTGGACAAGTTGTTGAACAAGTGAACTAATGAAGGATGAGTCCAGATTTCTGGCTTGAGCAGCTGGGTAGATGGGGCTGACCTTTCCTAACACGGAGACCCTGGACTCGAGCAGGAGCAGGTGTAGAGGAAGGTGTATCAGCTGATGGGCCCAGGGCTGTAGTATGTCAAGAAAGAGGAACGAATCCAATGGCAAACACTAGACTGTGAAAATATTTATAACCAACAATGTGGACGCCATCTTTAATATGTAAAGAGTCTGTGAAAATCAATCAGCAAAGATCACTAATGTTAGCAAACAAAAATGATAGTATAAACATGAGTAGAAGATCCACAAAAGATAAAGGATACAAATATTTGGGAAAACAGTTCAGTCTTATTAATACTAAAGAATGCAAACTAAATCAGTATGATACTTTTTTCCTCTCATTAAATAATTAACAATTTTCAATAATAAGAATAGCAATAAACTGGTCAGAATGTAAATTTGTGCAAGAATTTTTGCGAAGTAGTTTGGCACAGTGTATCAAGTGTCTTAAAATATTTACATCTTTTGATCAAATAATTGTTTTTGAAGTATATCTTAAGAAAGCCTGAGAAAAGCTAGCTTCTCCTGCCGTGTACCTGTCTTCATCTGCCTGCCTAGCTCAAACCCTGTCATTGTGAAATACCTGAAGAGGGGCACAGGTGGCAGACGACTGAAGGCTGGCTGGGAACGCAGATGGCTATGTATGTCTGGGAACATTTTAACAACTGGAAAACTCATCAGTGAATTTCATATAGAAATATTTGTTTTTTCTGTTGTGTTTCCAGATGAAGACTGTCAGCGTGGCCTTAGTTTTGTGCCTGAATGTCGGTGTGGACCCTCCAGATGTGGTCAAGACCACCCCTTGTGCGCGTTTGGAATGCTGGATTGGTAAGTGCAGGTCCCTCCCTTACCACCTGTCACAGGGGGTCACTGCGTGGGGTTCTTGGCTTGGCAGGGCCTGCCTCCGCTGTCTTGGTCCACTGCAGGTCTGTGATTGGTTTGTGTAAATCTGAAGATTTTATTTCATCTTGCAGTTATATAACCTTTAATACATTCACTTATCATTTGCAGTGGAGAGAGTGTCTCAGGAAAAATTGATTAAACGATGACTATTGGATTATATAATTTTCTCCTTTAAATTTGCCCTGCATATCGTACCTAGTACTAGTTACATACACTTAAAAAACAAACAAACAAACCAAAAAACCCTGAAGCACTGATACCTGCATGCAGGTGCCTCAGTTGTTCAACACGGAGTCCCACCTACCTCCTTACAGGAGGAGTCAAAGTTGTCATCATCCTCCCAGAGCATCTTAGCACATTGTTGACTAGAAATGGTGCAGCACAACCTTCACTTGTTTCTGGAGAGAAAACATTAGGGAGAAAGCTTTAGGCTTCCACCACTGACAGGACACTAGCCAAAGTTTTTTTCTGATCTCTTTTCTAAGTTAAGAAGTTCACTTCTATTCTTAGTTTGCTGATAGTTTCTGTCAGGAATCAATGTTGAATCTTATCAAATGCTTTCTCAACATCTAATGAGATAATAACCTGACTTTACTTTTTTAGTCTGTTGATGTGGTGAATTATATGGATTGATCTTGTTGATCCAACCTTGAATTTCTGGCATAAGCTTCACTTGTTTTATCTTTTTCATATGTTCCTGGATTTGACTGCTAATATTCTGTTAAGGAATCATACATTTCTGCTTATAAGGGTTGTTGGTCTATAGTTTTTTCATCTTGCAATGTATTTGTCTCATTTTGGTAGCAAAATAATGTTGGTCTCATTAAACAAGTTGAGAAATATTCCCATCTTTCCTGTTTCAAGGAAGAGTTTGTATTGAGTAAGGTATTATTTCTTCTGTAAATTTTGGTATAATTTACCAGTGAAGCCATCACAGTATGAATTTCCTTTGTGTCCATCATTGAATTTTCAGCTTTCTCTTGTTGGTAGGATTAGGGCAATCCATATCCCACCTCTCTGTGGCTTTCTCTAGTCTAAGCAAAAGCAGAAATTCCCTTTATCTGCTTTAAACAGTAAAAATTACAAATTGTTATAATCTGAATTGGGAAAAAGGTTTTTTTTTCTCCACTTTACTTACCTATTTCACTATTTGGGGGTATCTTAGGATGACAGCCTTTATTTCACAGCCTCCTGCCTGCAGCACAGGCCCCTTGTCCTCCCACCCAGTGACAGTAGCTGTTTCCTGTGGCCAGTTTCCTTAGATGCTTTCTTGGCTCTCTGCCACCCCTTGGTGACTGTGCCAATTGAAATTGACTTCTTATTAGCCCCCACTGACTGTTTCCACTTCATTTACCCCTTGTCAAAGCTGAATTTAATCAGTTGTTTTCTATTTCCTCCCTCTGTTACTACTCTTCTGTTAGGTTTTTTAACATAAGACTTCTCAGCCCAGATCCCAGTGTACACTCCTGGGGATTGTGTGGGTGGTGGTATCTGAGTAGAGAAGTGCACCTTCCGGGCTAAGGGGCTTTGGTTTTCATTAGATTCTCTAGGGATCCTTTGCCTTCTGCATTCCTGCCCCCAAAGATAAATCAAAGAACCCTCCCTCACATCTCACATAGTCTCTTTGATCAGTATTTATGGGACAGTGTTAATAAAAATGCAGAGAATCCTCTACTTTCTTCTTGATGTGAAATCCAGCAAACAAATAGATTTTTTCATGTTATAGTCCAAATTTTCTGAGGTTCAGATATGCAGTCTACTTTGTAATCATTTCAATAGATTTTGAATTCAGCAGGGCATATTGCCTTTTGTGAGTTAAAAATTTTTCATTTTGGTTTTATTAAAAAGCAAGTTCTTATGATGGTGATTTCAACAATATGGGATAAGGGAGGGGGAAAGTCTTAGAGGTTTGATTCAGCAAACTTGTAATGGTATCTAGCAGCCTATATGTTAATTTTTATTTTGAAAAAACATTTTCAGAAGTTGCATGTGGAGCTCTAAGCCGTTTTTTCCCTCATTCATTTGAAAGCAAGCTGCTGAAATGATGCTCCATCACTTTGAAACCTATTAATGTATGATTGCTACATACAAGAGTTTCTCTTTTATAATGACAACCTGGTCCTCACAGACAGGGGATTAACACGGATGTCCCACTACCGGGTAAGACTTGGATTGCATTTTCAGGGTTGCCGCTGTCCCCATAAGGTCCTTTACGGCACAGAGACTCTTTCCTGCTTCACACGTTGTCCCTAATTTAGTTTCATCCAACCTGGAACAGGCTTCACTCTTTCCTTAACCTTCATGACCTTGACACTTAGAAGGTCACAGGTGCTCTGTTTAGCATAATGTCCCCAATGGTTCCTTGGGATTACATTTTGTTTATGCCTCTTTGGCAGGAGTATCATGGAAGAGATCCACCTTCCCCTGTGGATCCTATCAGGTGGCACATGACTTTAATTTATCTCATTGCTGGGTATGTAGCTCTCTTATCATTTGATTAAGTTGGTACCTGAACTTCAGCTGTAAGATTCACCCCTTCCCTTTTGTAGTTAATAAACATTTTTGGGGAAGAGGTGCTTTGTCTGTGTTAATGTTTCCTTCATCATCAGACTTCCAATTTTTTCGACTTGAACTCATGGTTTGGCTGATGAGGCAGGGAGATCCAAGCTTGATGACAGGTTGGTTCTGCCTTTTTCAGGATGGTATGCCTGGAGCATGTCATGGCTGGGAAAGGAGTCCTGAGGAAGACCCCCTGCAGGGCTTGGTACCTTCTAATAATCTAAAAAGATGTTCCCGTTTAGAAGGCAGCCAATCGATGTTTTATACTTGGTCTTAGCATTTTGTGCTCCGTCACCAGAAATCAAAAGGTTTTGCACTCATCATGACCCCAGCTTATTCATTCCAGCTATTTCACTCGATCAGTCACTTAACCATTTGGGGCCTTAGTTTCCTTTGCAAAACAGATCTGATAATGGCACCCACTTCTTGGCTGGAGGGCGATTAACTGGGGCATGAACAGGGCTCAACTTGGGGATTGTTCACAGCCAGGAGCAGCCACCAGGGGCCTGCACTCATCTCCCCACTCCATCCAACAGGCCAGGGTGCTAGGTAGGAACCTGAGCTGTTCCCACATCTGTACCGCCCCTGCCTCTTCTGTGTGCTCGCCCCAAAGATGGGGGAAAGAACCATGCTTCTGTGCATGGGGCTGGGTGGGGATTACGAGTTCATTGCTTTATGGCTGCAGACACACATCAAACTGGCGAGACTGCTGATCGAAACTGCCCTGATTGTAGGGATAAGGGGTCTGGGAACTTGAGAAATAGTCAGATTCTTACTTTCCAGTTCCTTTTTGTGTACCTCTATGCCTACAGTCTCCACACACGTTGGGGAGAGCCCGACTTCCAGAGGCTCGGAGGATGTACCTGAGTGTCCCTGAAGTGGCCCTTTAGGTTTTCCTGTGGTGCCAGAATAAGCAAGGAGAAGATGCACTGTGCTACCCAGCAGTGATGGCCCGCCCTGCCTGCTGGACTGCTGCACAGCCAAGACCTGGATTCCAGCTCCAGCGAGGGAGGGGGAAAGGTGCATAGGCCTCCGGGTAGCCCAGCAGGAATGAGTGTGCCTACATGGCTGCCGCCCCTCTGTTCCTCTAGACAATAAGATGCTGTTTTATTTCATGGAGGCGACACTCAGGGAAGCAGGGGAGAGGCTGTTTTGTTTTATGGCCCCACATTAAACTAAAAACAATCCCACTAAAGAACAGCTCTCCTGTACCTGAGAGGATCAGTGTTTGAAAACAGAGTGTAGATGAGCTGAGCGCTGAAGGGGAGGGAGCGTCATTTAGCCTTGATGCCTTTTACATCTAGCTAACAGTAGCCGTGTTTCAGAGGTAAGATGGCTGTGAGTTGATTGGATGCTTGGGAATTCTGTTATCCTAAGAAAATATTTGGGAGGCATTTTGCTTTGTGTTTCTTACTTCTTAGAGAAAAGCATTTTCTTCTTCCCCCCATATGGATATTAAGAGACCTGTGTCGACGAGCTAAAACTAGTAGTAGAAAGCCTCTGCTTGCAGCTCTTGGTTTTACAGATATCTTCACAGCCTGTTGTCTGATCCTTATATCAGACTTGGACTTGACAGATAGTTGAGTTGGTCAACAGATGTTAAGTGGAGACCTACCTGTTAAGTGCAGAGGTATATATAGAAATGTAGTCATGCTTCTTAGGATTTAGTTTTAGACAAGACCAGCACAAGGGAGACAGGCCCCTTGAACTCAGCAGACATGGTGGAGTTGGAACAGGCCATGTAGGGGGGTGGGGGCTGCACGGGGAGGTGAGAGTGAGCCCTGGGAGGAGAAGGGGCTGGTTGTGGGCGCAGCCCTGGGAGTGCTTGCTGGGCTTGTCTGGGCCTTGCTGCGGATGCTGGGTGCACCCTGTGCCTGCACCTAGGCCTCTTGCTCTTACGGACTTTTGGTTTAAACCCTGTTCATATTTCAGTGAAGAAATACTTAGGAAATGTCCACTAAATACAAGCTATGGAGAAGTACAGATGTTTCTTGAGCAGTGAGTTCTGTATGTTTTTAAAATTTTAATTTGTGTTAAAGTATAGCATATGTGGGGTTCCCAGGTGGTGCTACTGGTAAAAAAAATCCACCTGCCAGTGCAGGAAATGTAAGAGATGTGGGTTCAATCCTTTGGTCAGGAAGATCCTCTGGAGAAGGGAATGGCACCCTATTCTAGTATTCTTGCTGGGAAATCCCTGGGACAGAGAAACCTGGAGGGCTACAGTCCATTGGGTCCCAAAGAGTCAGCATGACTGAGCATCTGTGCATAGCGTATGTATAGGAGGGTACACTGATCCAAGTGTATAGTTGATAACTTTTCCCAAGCTGAGCAGACCCAGATCAAGAAACAGTATTATCAGTGGCCCAGAATCCCATCTTGTCTCTTGTCACCTTCTAGTCACCTCCGCCCCAAGCCTCCGCTGTCTTGACAGTGTCTGTTAGCTCTGCTGATTTTGCATGTTATCTAAGTGGGAGCATTCAGGAAGCACCGTAGGCCTTTTGTGGGGAGTGACATCATAGAAGCAGTATTTTAGAAGGACTCATTGTGCTGGTTGGTCTCCAGGTGGGTTGAGAGGAGACAGGTCAGTGAGCCCTGCTGTGCTTCCTGGCCTCTGCCCTCTGCCCCCTGTAGCATCTTTGGGAACTTACTGGGAGCAGGGAATCTCCATAGTGTCAACACGAGATGCTGCTGGTGGGACCAACACCACCATAGTTGATGGTGGTGGTGATCATCATATAATGACCAATGTAGTCATAGTGATGGAGTGCAGGCTCTTTTGAAGGAAAATTGGGTAGGACAATGTAGTCAGGTTGTGTAAATATAAAGAAGATGGGGGGTTTAAATAAAAGACTCCCACTTCTTGCATTGGCTGAATGCCAGCACCACCAAGAATCTTTGTGACCTTGGACCAGGTTGTCTGACCACTTTAAGTTTCAGCTTTCTCTTCTTTGTTATGAGGAAGATTGGACTAAGTCCATGTCATTGTCAAGTTCTAAGCATCATGCAATACAGAGGGTTATGCTGAAAAGCTTGCAGGCAAGATTTGTGAAGAGCTAAACTTTTATGCAAACACCAATTACCATCTAGTTTTCCTTCCTTCCATTTATCCACCTACTCACCCACCCACCTACTCACTCACTAGCCCTTCATTCATTAAGTAGAAACCTGTGAAGGCAATAGAAGAGAAGTGTTTTGTTCAGATAGAACTACAATTCTAAATTTACTTCACCCCATGTCAGATTGATAAAATTGTCATCAGTATCCACCTGGGATTTTGTTTTAGTTTACTTAAGTTGTTTAGTTGTTTATTTTAGTAAATGTCGTATTAAATGCACCATTTCAGTTGTCCTCACCCTTTCCCTGTCTTCCTCTTCCCCCTCCCATTCCCTGTCATATTATTGGGAGGGAACCATAAACTGATTGACCACAGGGACTCCTGTGGCTTGGATGTGACAGCCTCACCTTGTTGATCGTCGCCTGATGAACTACTGTAGTTGTCCCTGCTCTTCCCTCAGGTGGCCGTATTTTGATCCACGACCGGGGGAAGAAGAGTGGGTGCTGCTGTCGGGCTGCTGCTGCTGACGAGGGCCATTGGTGAGGTGCATGGAGAAGCACGGTGCGGCTCTCTCCAGCTCCCACACGCTTTTGACATGCCCTCCATGGGAGCAGTAAAGGGAGGAAGCGGGCAGGTGGGGGCCGGGGCTTTCCAGAGGGTGAAGTCTGAGGACAAGGTGTAGGTTTCATCCTTCCCCAAGTGGGCCTTTGGAACTCCCTCCCTCCATTTGTCTTTGTCCTGATTCTTTAGAGGATGTGCCTAAGAGCTGCCCCTGATCAGTGTGACTCCTGGACAGGCCTTTATCTGTTTACAGTGGAAGCCATTTCTGTTCTCTTAGCCACAGATTAGCTGTGGCCAGAGTGCTGACCACAAGGTCACTGTGTGGAAGTGAGGGTACAGGAGTTAGAGGCTTTCAGACCATCTCTGGCAGTTACTCTGTTGGTCTTCACACATAGGACATGAGCATCTATTTGATGGCTTCTATTTGTTGAAACTGTTTTCTGCTTCCTTTTGCATTCTTACACAGTTTTGTTATTGCTGTTCAGTCGCTAAGTCTGAACTCTTTGTTTACCCTGTGGACTGCAGCACACCAGGCCTCCCTGCCCTTCACTCTCTCTTGGGGTTTGCTTAGATTGTCCATTGAGTCAGTGATATTACCTAACCATCTAATCCTGTGCCATCTCCTCCTTTGTCCTTCAAGCTTTCCCAGCACCAGGGTCTTTTCCAGTGAGTCATCTCTTCGCATCAGGTGGCCAAAGTATTGGAACTTCAGAATCAGTCCTTCCAATGAATATTCAGGATTAATTTCCTTTAGGACTGACTGGTTTGATCTTCTTGCAGTCCAAGAGACTCTCAAGGTCTTTTCTAGCACCACAATTTGAAAGCATCAATTCTTCAGCTCTCAGCCTTCTTTATGGTCCAACTCTCACATCTGTAGGTGACTAGTGGAAAAACCATGGCTTTGACTAGATGGACCTTTGTTGGCAAGTATATCTCTACTTTTTAATACACTGCCTAGGTTTGTCATTGCTTTCCTTCCAAGGAGGAAGCGTCTTTTAATTTCATGATTGCAGTCACTGTCCTCAGTCATTTTGAAGCCCAAGAAAATAATCTGTCACTGCTTCTACCTTTTCCCCTTCTATATGCCATGAAGTGATAGGACTGGATACCATGATCTTAGTTTTTTGAATGTTGAGTTTTAAGCTGGCTATTTGTATGTTCCTCTTTCACCCTCATCTCAAGAACCATAGGTGCTAAAATGATGAACGTGGATGAAAGGAAACAATCATGGGACCAGTGATGTTAATAAAACCAGTTTTCCCTAGGAAAGTTGTGAGTTTCTTAGCCTCCCAAGGAGGCTTAGTAGTTCTTTAAGTCAGGCTGAACACAGGTAAACCTCAGGCTCTGTTGTGTTGTCTTTAGTCAAAGGTGACTTTGAAGTGAATTGTCTAAGAGGAAACTCTGAAAGAGATGTTTAGCAAGGAGGAAATGAACAAATAAAAAACTTTCTCCTTCTCATTGCTCTCCCAGATCCTCTGTCGATGGGTCCTCAGAAAGCTCTGGAAACCATTGGTGCAAATTTACAGAAGCAGTATGAGAACTGGCAGCCAAGGGTAAGCTCTTTATTTGCTCTTCTTTTTCTTTCTTACAGAGGAATCAAGTTTCTTGCTTTTAAACAGTCTTTGAATCCAGATTCTCAGCTCATACAATCCAGTGATTGGACACTCCCTATGGCAGGCCTGCCTCCCTCTTCTGTCTGTTGACGTGGTCCATAGATTCATAAGGAAGCACATGCCCTAGTGTGAGTCATTGATTGGATGGTCTAATTTTTATTTTGCCTAAGCTTTCCCATGAAATGTTTTGGAAAAAAGTATTTTTCATGTTACTCTTAGATCGTGGTTTTTATTTTGCACAGGAAGTGTATTTTCAGTAATATTCTGTAACCTCAACTAGTTACAGCTGTTTCTCCCATCTTCAATTTTCAAATAGTTGAGGAAAAAAGCAGTCAATGTTCAAAAGATGACACCCATTCTATGCTTTGTCTTTGTTCTTTTTAAGGAGACAGTTACCAATTACTGGGTCTTTTGTTGCCTATATCTTAAACTTTTTTTCAAAAAAGAAATGTGGCATAGAATATAACTGTGTCAAATTGCCTTTAAGATCTGAAGTTATTTGTAAACCCAAAGACCTATTTTCTTTAGCCTTTCTCATTAACTAGTTTAAGGATTTAATAATTCTAATAGAAAATTAGAAATCTGGAGTGTTTATGGAGGTTCCTTTCCATACAGCTTTGTGTGATGCTGGTTCTGGAATTTTCTACAGGACGGAATGGGATGGGGGGTGGGGCTTTGAGTGAGTGGTGCTGCCATCGTGCCTCCTGTGGGCCTTTGCTTCTGCTTTTAGGGTTATGAGCCTAATGGGAGCCAGTGTCTCAGAGAACCGGTGAACATTTGCCTGCTTAGTGTTTTTGTTTGTGGATCATTTATCAATGTGATCTGGAATTCAGGAATTCCTCATGGATTATTTACATTCCTAGAGAAGAGAATAGCCAGGAATGAATATATTCCTGCCTGTGATAGTACCCTTGGTAATTTCTGCTTTTGCTCATGGTGTCAGGTGACTAATGTCATGAAACATCTCTGTGCCTCTGGTGTGTCCTTGTGCTTTGCATTTCTAACTTGTCAAGTCAGTAATAATGGACTCTTGTTCTTTTTCTTTTTAAATTTATTTTTGGTTGTGCTGGATCTTCATTTCTGCATGCAGGCTTTCTCTTGTGTCAGCAGGGGCTAGTCTCTAGTTACAGTGTGTGGGCCTCTCATTGCTGTGGCTTCTCTTGTTGTGGAGCACAGGCTCTAGGCTTGCAGGCTTCAGAAGTTTTGGACTCAGTGGTTGCAGCTCCAGGACTCTCGACCACTAAGGCTCAATAGTTGTGGTGCATGGGCTTAGTTGCTCCGTGGCATGTGGGATCTTCACAGATCAGGGATTGAACCCAGGTCTCCTGCTTTGGCAGGTGGATTCTTTACCACTGAGAATTCTTAGTAGAGAGTTTCATCTATGTCTAAAGGCTTTGCTTTTTCCTCCCTCAGATTTGTTACTCTTGATGGCTTATACAAAAGTTCAATAGCATTTTTCTTTAGAGTACAGTGTGTTTGGGGCTTGGATAAGGACCAGTAAGATTTAGATGGTGTGGTCCTTTAAAAATAGTTGAGATGCCTGGTGTTTATCAGTAGAAAATAGCTTCCTTGAGGACTTTGAAAATACTCCAGGCTAGACAGGCACTTAGGGGTGAGTGCTCTCAGAGGCGCAGACACACCTTATGGTCATATGGGACAACGTACACAGGTGACACTGGAAGATGTGATGCTCCTGGCAGATGGAAGGTTGAGAACCAGCTTGACTAAAATGTAAAAGAATGCCTTTCTGACTTGGCTACTTCTGACCTTCCTCTGGGTTTGACTTTCTGTTTTTCTCTTTGCTAGACACATTTAAGAAAGAACATTACCAGATCAATTCAGATCTACTGATTGTATTCTTCATAGTAAGGGTCTCTGCTGGTTTAGTTCTTTCTTCCTTTAAAAGAATTGTTACATAGAAGATACAATCTTTCAGAATGCATGTTTAATATATCAAGGCATTTTATGTTTATTCCATCTGGTGTGATTTACAATTTTTTTTTTCGTGTGCTAAGAGTTGATTTACTGTTAGCTTTATTATTAGTTTAGCTGGTAGATATCAGCAAGTTCATGCTAGCTAACAGTAAATGGAATCTTCTAAAGTAGGATCATTATTATTTTTAATCTAAATTTTTGTCTGTGAGCAAAGCTCTTCCATGCTATCTGGGAAAGGCATTAGCATGTAAGGCAGGCAGCATTTATATAGAGAGAAATGATTGCAGAGCCAAAAATAATGGTGTAGAATCACACATAGGGCTGAGAAATTACCTTCCCAGGACACAGGTGGCCAGCAGTGGTACAAAGGGTTGTAGTCCTCTGGAAGGATGGTGTTAGTCTGAGAAAATTTGTTAAAGTCAGTGGGGTTTCAAGATCTCCAAAGTAACTTTTTGAAAGAGAGATGGTTCAAAGGGCTGGTGAGGGAGAATGTTTCCAGATTATTGGAAGTCTTGGCAAAGGTGCCAGTATACTAGTGTGGTGGGATTCCATCTGGGTTGGTTTATAGAGTAGAGTTGGAATAAAGTATCAGCTGTAGCCTAGTAAGAAGCAGTTCATGCAACAGGATGGTATCTTTTTGCCTGCATTCAGGAAGCAGAACCACAACAATGAATACTTAATGTTTTCTTTTTTGAATGCCAAGACCATTACATTCATTTTTAAGTACTATAAAATGTTTACAGTGTTTCTGCTACAAACAGTTAGTTAGTGGGACTTGTGTATTTCAGAGACAAGCCTAAGGTAAGGGTGCAGCCAGATAACCTGACTGGCTGACTTGTATCAGTCATGGGGCTGTGCCACATGCACTGGGCAAGTGCACACATCTCTCCCCTGCACACCTTCACGTGGGTTTACAGGAGGGAAGGAGGCCTGGCACCCTGTGGGGTGGTTCTCAGACTGTGGTGGCAGCCTCATGCTGCCTCATAGAATTTGCGCAAAACATAAGGCAGTCACCAAGCTCAGATGTTTACATGTGGGTGCCTGGTTCCTAACTATAAATCAGGGTCCTTTGAAACATTGCAGAGCGAAACACACACCACTTTATTGCACTCTACAGTGCTCTCGAGTTTTCTGCAGTAATAAAGAGAGGTTGATTGCATCTGCAATAAAACAATGGGAACTTTATTAAATTTCTAGACCTTTGATGTCGATACCCATAGATCTGGTTTTCTCTCTCTCTCTGTATCCTGTACTGCAAGACTCACAAAGGTTGGGCCACTGGAAATAAGGTCATCTTCATTAGTGTTTGTGGTAATCCTCTCAGGCCTCCACATTGCCGTGGATGGGAACAGGCTGGGGAATCCTGCCGTCTTCCTCCCTTCTAGGGAGTGCAGAGAATAAACTACTGGAAACCTGTCAGCGTCATCAGAGTGGTAGCTTGATGAGCTGATTTCCTTCCTGGTGTTAAAATGCTTCTAGTTTTTCCTCCTAGTAGAAAGCGTGTACTTTTCTAGCTTTGATTGTTCAAGATTAAACATTTTGATAAAGGTGATTTGGGGTCAAGAAGGAGTTTAGAGAAACTTTGATGATGATGTTTTTGTCTGAAGCTTCCAGACTATCTGGCCCAGATTTCCTTGCCAGGCCGATTGAGCCCTTTTCTAAATAATTTATCAGTTTGCCACAGGTGAAATATTTTTTCTGATTAAATTTAAGACTTTGCTTTATTACCTTGTAGGTACATAAATTTGTGTTTCTGCGGGAGCTTGAAGGAAAAATGCCAACTGTTGTTTCAGCTGAAAATCCTGCAGTTAAATAAACCTCACTCAGTTCATCATAAGTCTCAGCTGAAAGTTTTATTAGGAGATGGATCAGGAGATTATAAAGCTGAGCGTCTACAGTGAAGAATTTATCTTTTTAAGACTTACTAACAAATTGGGGGTTCTGGCAGTTTAGTACAAGGTGTGATTTTGGCACTAGGGCCAGGGAAAGATGGCAAACAAAGGGTCCTGTCGCTATCCTGTTCTTTCCCTAAAGAGTTTCCAAGCCACCATCAGCACCTTTCCTTGGGCTGAAATGCTGTTTTCCTGGGTGGCTTGAAAACAAATGTAATGGGAATAGTCATAACTTCCTAAGGTAAGTGAAGGCATTAAGCAAGACTTCCAGTGCCAGCAAGTGTCTGAAATGACCCTGACTTAGCCCATTATGTCCTGTGTGCATATCTATGAAAGGGGATGGAAAGTGCCCTGTGGCGCTTTGCTGTGATGCACCCTCCTCCAGCCAGGCCTTGGGGACTCGTGCAGAGGTTTTGGGGGCTCCAGGAAGCCAAGGTGCTCCACAACCTCAGTTAATCCTCTGGGGACTGTTCTTAGGTGCCACATACAGGACATTTGCTGCCTGGCATGTAGCAGAGGCTCAATTTCAGCCTTGCCTTCAGTTCGTTGTGCCTCTCAAGTCTATCAAGTGGTCAAGGGATGAAAGTTGGAAAGTTGGTTTTGCTGTTAGAAAGATGCATTTTCAGAGTGTTTCCCACCAGGCGGAGTATGTATAGGGGTAGGTGTCTGCCTGGAACAAAGTGACCCTCCACCACCTGCTCCATCATCAAAGCAGAGACAATTGTTGTGTTTTAAGTGACCATTGCCCTTTCCTTCAGTGTTGGTCACAGAGTTGCCTGCATCTTCTCAGAGCATGTGCAAATGAACTGCAGCCATGGTTCTACTTTGTGGCGGAGGAGAGAGTTTGGAGGAAGAAGGGGAATGACAGGGCCAGTGGATAGTTTCGTTCATGTTTTGGGCGTTTGTTGGCTTATCTTTTGGGTTTAGGCACAGCTGCTGTTTGCAGACCCTAACACTGTGCAGCAGTGTTTCCTGGTGCGGTTGTGGTTAAGCTGCTGGAGTTAGGCTCCTTGATGGCTCCCGAAAATGAGGCTGACAGCTCAGCCTGCTCACCTCTGGGAGAAGGAATTCAGCTGCCAGGCAGTTTGGGGATTGACCTTTGAACTGGTGAGT